TCGAGTGGCTTTCGCAAACTCTCTATTGTCCGCAGCGGCTTCTGCGGCAGAGCGTGACACCAGCCAAGATTCTACCGTTTGAAATATGGTCGTGTATTGCTTCAAAGTGGTACGAATGCGTGTGTAGGCATTGCTACATCATATTCCGAGAATATCTTAGCAGGGGAGGAGACAATGGGTGAGTAATTCAAGGGTACGAAGTAGTGATGGGGTACGAAGCATTGATGAAGCATAGTATCACCTATTGAGCAGACTTGACCAAGTTGAGCATTACACAGATAAGCCCCATGCTACATGCTCTCACATTGTTTGCATAGGTAGAGCCAATTGACTTTGGCTCTGACTTCCTGGAAGTTCGAACTGCGTTCTCTGGAAGTTCAACTCCGAGTCGCTCCGCGAACATAAGAGCAAGTCTTCGACAATGACGCTGGGATGCCATTTTTAGCTACGACCGACCGACCCCATGATGACCCAGACCCCGAGCTTCAGATCACCACCACAGGGTTCTCCAGGGCACGAAACTCAAATGTTTGAATCTTTAATTTCCAGTAATAGCACCGTGGATATGGCAGTGATTCCTCCGCGACCATGCTCAAGCTTCGGTTGGGCTTCGCGGCAGGTCAGACCATAGCTCAAGCGAACGTGCATGAAATTTGGAGATTTACCGACTCCGAGAACGCTATTTGAACTCGTGTCTCCAAGAATTGTATCGTCAACAACCCAGACCACTGCAGTGTAACCAACGATGACGGACAGTACCAAACCCCAAATCGCACTTGTGGGTTCCTATTCCGACGCCTTCGTGAAGGCTTTGGGAGACGATAACTTTGACGTCGAGCAATGCGATTCAGTCCCCAACGTAAGTCGTTTCAGGCAGCGCAATATTCACCTGAGGCTAAACGTGACGGCAGCCCGCGACGAGGACATCGAGCCTCGCAGCGCTTGCTCTCAAGGGCGAGGAGTACACCCTCTCCGAAAGCGACATTACATTGATGCTGCCCGCCAAGACGGTCCTTATTTTCTTTGGGCCTACATCGACGCTCCTGGAGACCGTTCAAAGCGCCACCAACACACCTATCGACATCCCAAGTCTCGAAACTAGTCGATGGCTTGCCGCTCCTCGTGTACATGTGAGTGTTGGAGTAAGCTATATTGATATGTCGACCTTCACGGCGATACAGGGTTGATGGCATGGTCAACATCGCTACCAGTATTGTTCCCAGCGATGCTCAGGTCCTTCCGCTAGTACAAAGTGCTCTCAAAGGAAACAGTGAGATTGTGGCGACGGATGGATATCAACTACAATCGCCAACCGATCCCGTTGAACAAGCCGTAATGTCCATCGATAACGCTGTTACCGAAGCGCAGAGCGACAGGGCCTATGTATCCACCCTTGATCCACCGATCGGAACTATTGGTTTTAAGAAGTAAGTGTGGGTTCTCCCGTTTGATCTAGCCTTACAACCGCAGTATAGGGGTACCCTGTCTAATTTCGCGAACATTGCGATCAACCGGCTTGCCTGGAGTCCAGCGGGGATCTATATGGCTGCGGCTCCTACATCCCATATTCAGAGATATACCTTGAAGTGGTACACGGATGTGTACTCGTACGCAACGGGCGCCGACTGTAGGAATAAAACCCCCACACAGTTCGCTAACGAGGGTGGTGTCGTGTACACCGTTGTCATCGATCGTGGCAACTTGCGACGCTCCCCGGATAGTGCGCCACGATATTGGGGACCTGAGCGGGGGTATTGTGGCTACTACTTCGTCGATCACAACACGACAACCCACCGTGCTGGCTCATCGCTAAATGTGCATACCTTCCAACCGCAAGGTCCAGACTCGCAGAATGAAAGCAAGATTGGCTGTAGGTGCCTTGTTGTAGTCACATCCTGCTGTGTTGTTGAACGTTCTACAGACAACATCAGCTATGAACAGGATATGCAGATGTTAAATAACAACGGACATTCAACATTCACATTCAAAGCCAAGTATATGAACGGGTTTGTCTTAGATCAATTTCAGCTACACGACAGCCTAGGGAATTCAGGCGTGGAGTTTTCGGTTGATTACAACGGCTACTATGTGCGCACCTATCACCGTCGAATTACAGTGATTTTACTGACCTCTGTGTGGCCTTTGTGTATTCAGGACTATTGGGCTGACCCGAAATTCGCCACCAAGCAATGGTGGAACCCTGGTGTCTTCGAGAAACTCCCGAAATCCGGACGTTGGCTGTTCGCGTTGGTCACTTTTCACTTACAATGCTGCCAGCTACCTGACCCGATCTCAAGGATGGTTTGCCGGTCGACAATATGCCTATCAATGCGTTAACTGTCTTCTCGTCGAGTGTTGGACAACACACTATGAGTGCGTAGCCCCATGCTGCTTCCCAGGCCGTGATCTGATTGAAAGCACCCTCACAGCGTCCGAATTCTCTGCAGACATCAGAGCGTTCAAGTCTAATTACTGGGATACTAGTAGTGATCATAAAAAGCCTGGTGAGGTTTCTAATTCTGACGGGAACGCACCTGTGAGTTGCTTGGACCATGCAATTATCTGCGGGGGCTGACAATGGATGGTAGACCCATTTCCAGACAACCGGGATCTCTGAAAAAAGGACGTGGAATCGTGCGTTGGGTTTGACCTGGACCTAGGAGATTGCGAATGCAATTCAGGCATTCCTTGGGGATGAATGAGTAGCTACTGGGAGGCGAACAATGTCCGTAACAGTAAATCTTTTCACTTTGCAAGGCTGCGATATAGTGTGGTAGTCCTCTTGAATTTTAGACACAAGTTTCCCAACGACAGCACTACCCCTGTCTCGCGGTGTCTTAAAGTTCTGTAAAGGAGTCGTTTTCCTACTGGCCCCGCCAGGCTAAAGGAAATAAAGCTTAGCGTCGGTCATCATGAGCCGACTCGCCTCTTTTCGTGGTCCATCTGCACCATCAACTTCGCCAGTCCCAAACCCGCAATCCCCATCAAATAAAAAGAAATCACGACGCTCCGATGCCCTCACCGACTCCTCTAATCTCCAACCACCCTCATCCCCTTCTCGATCTGCAACAGAATCCACGTTCCATCGCAAAACTCGCGCTTATCTGTTAGAGTTCAAAGCCATAGCGAACAGTTGGGATGATTTGGTGCTGATCGACGGTGTAAGAGCGGCGAAGCACTTGGTTGATGCTAGGACCGAACTCGAGTGAGTTTGTGGATTAGTTTCTGTGTGCACGAAGGCACTCAAGCTCAAGCGACGAAGAAATTCGATCGCGCTCGCTCCAGATCGGCGGCCCCGCTATCATTTAGTCGGCGAGAAACTTGTGCTTGCAGAGAACAAGATCACAGAGCTCGAGAGTATCATCGCTACTTTGGTATGCATTCGCCATGTACACTCTGCTTGTTCTAACACTAAAGAATAGGAAAAACACTTTTGGAGGATGAACAATATCATTGACGGCTTGGAGGCACTCTATTTCGAGGTGACAAAGGCAAAGGGATTTCAATGGGCCGCGAAGGAGCCACTTTGGACTACATGGTCGCTCGAGAAGTTTGGTACGCACACCGACAGCTTCTTCCTTCACCCCTCCCGGCTTATTTGTGCATGCTGCAGTTGTCTCCATTCCTTCAGTTCTCCCGGCGTACAATCAGCTCTTCACGAATGCAAGATCATTGTCGATACTCTTCGATCACACACCGCGACGTTTGAGGTATCGAGAGATGCTATCGCTAGATGGGTCGAGCAGCCGTGGCTAGAAGAGTTTGGGTGGGGTGCGAACTGGGAGGAGTTGTGCGCGGCTGAGGTAGAGAAGTGGGATCCATAGCCCGAAGGAGTCTGATGCTCGATAATCAACGTTCAGACTTCAGACATCTATACCCCAACAGCAGGACGAAAGGTATCCTTGCAGGGTGTACCCGGGGATCGAGGCTAGCATCATATGCGGATATTGCTGGTGTTGGCTGCCATTGTTCGAGTCCCCGGGAAATGCGATCACTTTGCGCAAGTTTGGGGACTTCTCATCACATCTGCAGACGAACAGGGCACGTTCGGCTTCGTTCTCACTTTATCGTAGCCAACGCGCATATTTTATGTCGCAAACAGCCTTCACTGTTTGCTTGTTGTCTGACACCAATGATGTGTCACTAGCCACATTTCTATCAGTTGACACTGCCTGAAGCATATCTACTCTTGAACGTTGAACCCCCATTGTTGACATGTTTGCGGATCGTCAGTTTGTCATATCCGGTGTTAAGAGAAAGAAAACAACAGATCACCGCGCGACTTCCCCGCCGTAACTAAAAATGTCAGTTTCACGAGTTACGCCGCCATACTAGTTGTAGCCGAGAAGCCAGTTTCCAGAAGAGCAGCCCTCTATCTATCGACATACACGACTGTACCGTTTACTTCCAGGATGGTGTCGGAGACGTCAGAAGCATGGAATGCGGCGCAGGGACCTTTGCAGATCGGCTGGGCAGTGAGTGTCTGTTCCGTTCATCAGCGAATCAGGAAGCTGTAGCCTGTAAGAGTGTGGCAGATGGGAATGGGTGATTGCTGTCATGGTGGCAGTAGCGTAGCAGTACTTGATCGGAGTGCGAAAAACGCGCTTACATAACCGAGGTGAGCTGAGTGGGCGCCTAATTTGCTGCAGGGCGTGAGTGGGAGGATTATTCGCCAGTCGGCTAACTGTCATTTGGGCAGGCTTTCGATACTCCCTTCTAATTCACCAAAGGGATAATCTCTTGCGTTTTCCATCCTTTTCTTTCTCCTTTCACTCTGCTGTTGTACTCTAATTTCCAAAGGTCTTGCGGAGGCCTCACCTCGCACCCTCACCACTCCGCTTCTTTTCCCCATCCTGCTTGCATCCACTCGACATATGGCCACCGTCACCCAGCAGCAACAGTCTGGCCCTACTCCCCAGCCTCTGCAGCAGCAGCAGCCGCAACAGCAACAGCTCAAGCTCAACCCCTCAGACCCAAATCCTGGCGCAGCGCTATCATGGGAGGGCGACCGCATGTACGTCTTGTCTTCACTTTTCGTCGAAATGATCATCTAACACTGTACCAATCGAATCTGAACTTGTGGAATACCCAGGTTTAATATATACATCTACGACTACTGCCACAAACGAGGGTTTCTCAAGACGGCGCAGGAGCTGCTAAGCGAGGCAGACCTTCCACCCGATGCCACACCCCCGATCAACGCAAAGCAGGGTCTACTGTTTGAGTGAGTGTTAAGCTTGCATTAGCGCACACAGTGCTAATCGTCGGGCCCGCCACTGTGACTTGTCTGCTGTGTGAATGATGTGTGACTCGCTGCGGGTTTAGATGGTGGAGCGTATTCTGGGTGCTGTTCACTACGAAGAGTAATGGGAATGGGCCGGAGGATGCTCTCCTCTACACTCAGGTGCGTTCTGTACATCCCCTTCTTCTGATCCGTTGGCTCACGCTTCTACATGTAATCTCGAAATGATAGCATCAAAACCAACAGACGGCAGTCCGACAGCAACGACTTCAAGCGCAGGCGCAGGCGCAGGGTGGCTTAGCTCTGCACGGCGTAGGTCAAACTGTTACCACCAATGGCCCTCCACAACCCGGCCCACCTGGCTCAGCTACCGGCCCTCCAATGCGAACGATGAATGGTATGCCTCGCCAGGGCGGCCCAGGAGCTCCTTCTGTAGGCCCAGGACCCCCACCTAACTCTGGCTTCCTTCCCAACGGCATGACTAACGGTACTCTACCAAATGGCGCACCTACGCCAAATTTCGGCAACCAAGGCATGCCCAACGGCATTGTAAGCAGTCCTGGCTTTGCAGGTATGAACCCCCAACGTCTTCCTCAAGGCGCACCCGGCGTGGGCGTTGGTCCCCCCGGACAGCGGCCGAACGGTATGGGCGGTCCGCCGTTCCAGCAGAGCCCGACGATGGCGAACTCACCGAACAGTGGGCCTGGCGGGCAATCTGGGCAGCAAGGACCTGGAGGCCAGGGTGGTGGTCCGATGCAGCAAGGGCAGCCAGCAGCAGGACAGCCGATGAACCAGATGGGGCCAGGCCCGCATGGGATGGGGGGGACGATGAGTCGACCTGGAACGAGCGGCGGGCTCCCGGGTGGGAATCCTAGCGGGTCAATGTTGCCGCCTAACTCAGGCCAGCCAGGCGGCGGTCCGCAACCAGGGATGAACATGCAAGGCCAAGGATCGACGCCTGGATATCGGCCACCAAGTCGCACCAACACGCCGGGCAGTGGAGGCATGATGGTTCAGCAGAGTCCGTCTTTGATGAACCGGCAGGTTCCAGGCGCACCTGGTCAGATGGGTATGGGTATGTCTCCCGGTATAATGTCTCCCAATAATATGGGTATGTCGCCAGGGATGCCACCGAACATGGGCATGGGCATGGGCATGCCTCTTCAGGCCGTCCTCGCCGAATTTGCCCAGATACAGCCCTTGTTGCTAAAGCAATACAAGTCTGAGATAGGCATGCCAGACACCAATCAACCGTTGTCAGATCAAGACAAGGTGCGAATCCTGGATGATTTATCGTGTAGTGTACTTACGACCTAACGTCAGATGAGAATCGTGGGCCACCATCGAGCGAAGAGGGGGCAAGCAGGTGTAAACGCTGCTGCCGGTCCTTCAATGATGAATAGACCACCTATGCAACACCCTGGTCAGCGGCCTCCTGGACCCCCGGGTCCCTCCGGTCCACAGTCAGGTCAACGTGCCGGAAAGCGAAACAGCACGTCTCCTGGTGAAGAGGTGCAATAAATCCATCACTAGTAGTAAGCACGTAAACTGACGCGCGACAACCCCTTGTAGCATGGAACTCTTCCTGGGCAAAAATGACAGCCAGTCGTCACCGCGAAGCGCCAAACGAGCACGACACTCGCCAACGCTCGAGCATCCTATGTATCAACAGCAGCAGCTCGGCCAGCCAGGCCAGCCCCAGCAGCCCGGAGGTGGGCCGAATCACCAACCTGGTGGACCGGGCGGGCTAGCCGGTACTCCCTCTATGAATCCTCAGCAGCAACAGCCGCCAATGAAATATCATGCGTCCGAACCCGATGGGTGGTCCGATGATGGGCGGCCCACCACAGTCCATGATGGGGGGCGGTCCAGGTCCCAGCGGTATGCAAGGTCCACCAATGGGTGTCAACGGCCCTTTTGGTCAAGGAATGGCTGGTGGCCCGATGGGCAATATGATAATGAGCCCCGGAATGAGCCACCCCCAAGCGGGAGGCATGCGGACACCCCAGATGCTCTCGACTGAAATGGCATATCGACACAACATGCAAAACATACACAAGCAGCCCATGGCCGGTAACGTCGGGTCCCCCCGCCGCGAACGCTGACTCGCCCCTTCAACCCTGGCGGACCAAGTGGCTCTGGGGACGCCCCAGTTCAATCCTGGGAACCGTCCGGGGCCTGGGCCCGGACCTCAGCAACAAAATAAGCCGATGAATAGCATGGCGCCGCCTCCGTCTCCGGGCATGAAGGACCAGAACACGGGAGGGACCGAAGGATGGGAACAACGCGTTGGGGAATGGGGCCCAAGGCCTGGTGGCCCTGGCGGATCGCCCGCAGAACCAAGCTATGGGGAGACAGACGCCGACTGCGACGGGTACTGCTCCGCCAACGCCAGCGCCTGGAGCCGGTTATGAGTAACGGACCCCCCTCCCCCATCAACGCAAACAACAACCCCATGACCGCTCCCTCGCCATCTTCCATGCTATCTATGAACGGTGGCGGACCAGGTATGCCCACGGATCTGTTCAGCACAGACTTCATTACCAGCGTGGCAAACACTCTGGACGACTTCGATGCGTCGAGCATATTCCGGCCAGATGGTGATATCAATTTTGAGAGGGACTTTTGGGCAGTGGTTCAATGGGGACGATACTATGGGCGGAGGACTATCATAGAGTGCCCCCGCGCCAACCCATGCGGGTGGGATGTGAGGCCAGAGGACAACGCGCGGAAGACAAGATCTAGGACCTGCCTGCCTGCCTGTGGAAGTGACACTTGCTTTTTTCCATTTTACTTGACACTCTTTCCCCAGTGCGCAGTGCGTATCGGTTTCTTCCGTGCAAAATGGCTTCTTTCATTGTGCTTTATAAACCATGATGTATCTTTGGATCGATGCTTACCGTAGATAGTTTCCCATCCCCCTTCCGTGCTCTCCCTCTGCTCTTGCTACCCGCCCTATAACACCCGTTTGTAGTCCACCCCGCTTCCCCAGGTTCCCTCTTGTTCTTATACACACCTATATTTCGCGCCATTTGGCCAGTAGTCATTTATATTGCTTGATTTCAGTCTCCCGTTTACTTCTCTCTTCTTTTTCCACCGTATATCTTATTCCCCTCTCCTTGTTTTCGTCTCCGTGTCGTCACTGCTTTACTATAATGCTACCGCCCATGTATACTGTCTTATCAACTCATAGTTTGGATGGAAAGTCAACGAGTCGACGTCGAAGGAAAGTGGACACGACAGTACCCCTACAGTGTCTGTATTGAGTTATGGTAGTGCTCATTTACATTCCCGAACACATGCAGATATGTAAGGCGGGCAGAGGTGCGGAGAAAAGCGCGGACGAGAGGCGGTTGATCAGGTCGCCACGGATTGACAAAGATGGGCATGAAGAAGGGCTGATATACCGCATTGTGCATACAAGAGCGAACTTCGTCTGGCTACTTACGGAATTCGCATGAGAGGAATCTGAGTATCGACAATCCCAATGAACTCTTTGTACGCCTCGCCAAAAAGTCCCATCAGTTCTTCGGAATCCAAGGCAACCCTCGTGTCCATGAGGTTCTGGCACTTCTTTGACCACGATTGCACACTGTTGAACCACTTCTCCAGCAACTTCTCACAGCAGGAAAGGTAGATAGCTTGGGGCCCTTCAACCTGCCATTCGTACAGAATGGATCGTTTCGAGACGGGCATATGCGAGACTCCATCGGCGTTGAGAAGCTTCCACCATCTTGTTTCCGACTGCGTCCTGCTCGGTGCCCAGTGAAGTAGTTCGTAAAGGAGTACCCATGCAAAAGACTCCAAATCGTCGATGGGCGTATGAGATGCTTGCCCGCCTGAGGCCCATTCCGTCAAAATGCGTAGTGAGAGGAAGGGTAAAGTACCCTGAGACATCGTAAGTAGAGCTCTTGTCACAACCTCGAAAGACAGGAACTGACGAAACGATGCGAAGATTGCTCGGCACTGCCCCATCTTTGAGCCCCATCACCATCGATGAGGAACGCGACGCAGTCCTGGCTTTGTATTACAGAAGTTAAACTAGGCCATTTCTTAGCGTCCATGTGCCATGCGTAAAGGTCGATCCAGAACTCACATATCAGGTATTCGTCGGGGTACGGGTTCGTCTAAAAACAATGATGTTGCCATTACTGACATCACGATGGAGGTAACGACCTTGGGTGAACAAGGCACAATGCCTTGATTGGGGGAAGGAATGATATTGGCGTGCGCAAGGTAATAAGAGAAAACTCACCCATCGCGGCATGCTGGAGAGCCCGCGCAAGTTTCTGAGGGCCCAAAGTCTCATCTAGCGGGTGTCCCATTGTTTCTATAACTAGATGACGATGGCATCGAACCTCAAAGGCTTGAGCCGTGGAGTCAGATATAAGAGTGGCCGTCCCCTCATCAGGTGGGTTCATAGCGTCTTCATTATTCTTGCGAAATTTGATAGGCCAGAATTCAGGGACATTCTTCGAAGTGTGAAATTGCTGTGCTTCATACCCAATCAAAATATCAGGGATGCCAATGTAGCCTTGAACAGATCTGAAAATATCCTCTTCCTTATCGCGGCCAGCGGGTTGATGGGAGCATTTTACGATAAAAGATTCGGGCAACTTGACATTCAGTGGCTTCGTCGCAGTGGGGTTGCACGCCTCCAAGTCGTCATAAGGGTTTCAGTCGCGACCATGCGCGGAGGTTGACTTTCTCCAGTAGCTCCTTCGTAAATTCTGGGAGAAAACGACGGAGCCGGGATCGCGAAGGTCGTCCAAGCTCCTTGTCCAGCTTGACTGCGAAAACGCCCGTGCCCCGACCCCGGATGGCCTGCCGACGGCAAAGAACCTGGGTGATACGGTACTGGGCGTGATTGAGTGAGATATGGGAATGGGTCATGCAAGGGTCATACCCGGCTTGAGAGAGTGTCTCCCATTGCCATATACCAACGATAGTGGCAACAACTTCGCGAAAGCCGGCCTTGGTGGCGAGAGCCATGGGGGTGGTTGCTAATAATCCACCGCGGTGATACAGGCATACTCGAAACGAAAGATTGTCCTGGCAAAAGAGGAACATCGGGATGAAAATGCGATGTTCCGTCGCCGCGAAAAGGCATCGAGCATAAGTTCCGGCTTGAGCAACGAGGTCGCCCCAATGGCCTTCGACATCACCAACAATCAGCGTCTGGTACCAATATAGGCGAACATCAGTGCCAAGGATGCCATCGAGTGCTACGAAATCCGGTTTCAAAGGAGCTTCGCTGTCGATAGAGCCTCGCAAAAACTCGGTCGTAGATGGCAAAACGAACATCTCTGAAATAGGATTTCTGGTATTGGCTGGGGCGCAGGGCCTTGAATTTATCGATAATCGTATTGAACAACTTCACCAGTGGTTCGTAGAATAATCGCTCGTGTCCTTTTCCGGCTTCTGGCCAATTTAGGAGCCCAAATTCATCGGCGCCGATGTTCGTCGTCCACTCCTTTCCTCGCAACCCATCGAATACCACCTTATCAATACCACCTGATGCTGGGAAGAACGCCTCTCGTACCCAGTTGCCCTCGAAAGTTGCATCTCGTAACTCGTGCGAGATGATCCCCTTAAGTTCATCTTGTTTTCGTTGCCTCGTTGCTTGATTCTCTGGAGGAGATCCTTCGTGCTCGTGTACGTCGAATATGCATTGGAATTGGTGCTTAATGGTGTGTGGCGCATGCGCCTCTCGTCGCAGGCTTCGATAGTTTTGAGACTGATACTTGCCATGGTGGTTACTGACAACGTTGAACTAGAGGCCTAAGGAGTCTATTCCACCCTTCTCCCATTCTTGTCTTTCTACACGCACTTCCATATCTCATGCCATTTGGCCAGTAGTCAATGATATTGCTTGATTTCAGTTACTCATCTACTCGCCTTCGTTTTTCTACCATACCCTTCCCTTTGCTTTCGTCTCAATGTCGTCACTGCTTTCCTATAATGCTACCGCCCATGTATACTATCTTATCAACTCATAGTTTGGATAGAAAGGGAAATGCGTGAACTTGTATCCTTGAACACTGGCCTTTCCTCGTACGCAACGCCCCGTACAGGCAGCCCGCGATTGAGTGAAGCATCAGTCGCCGCATTTTGGCTTCAGGCCTTTCATTTGATTCATAGTTGGGCCATGGTACGAATTTCGACGGAAGCTTCGGTGTGGTCGCGGGATGATCGCTGGTCTTGATACCAAAAATTAAACAGCGCGGCATTGCTTGATAAACCGTTATAAAAGAAAGGATATCTCCGTTTCGTCTAGTAGGGCCGGAAACACTTCTGAAAGTGGTGGAATTGGATGGCCAAGATAAATCTGCAAGCTTATATAGGGGATTGGTCATTCATATTCAGCGCTCAGTATCGAAGATTTGACCCGACTTGCCCACATGTTCGCTGATCAAGTGGGGGAGTAACTGAGAATCAGCGCGATTCTATCGGCGCTCAGCTGCGTCGTCGCTGGTTGATCCCCCCTCCTACGCAGGGAGGTAGCACCCCTTACTATGATACGCACACAATCCTTGTATGATCTCCACCTTCGCGCCTGGGACCCCCACTCTCGAGCAGAGGGCCTACCCACGCGGGAATGCACCAAGTAAACCACTGCCACACCCAAATGTACTCAGCAATCTCCCACGTCTTCGACTGCTTCACGCCCATCCCGCCGGCGAGAGAAATCAACGTATCCTCGCAATGTATCGCCAGCGCCTGTAGGAGAAAGAAGCGCATGCTCCCGGCGAAATGCCCGAACTGCATGTATTCGGGCCAGGCGTGGATGAGTCCGGAAAAGAAGAACGCGAGGTAGAGCTGCGTGTATCTGGAGAGTTTGCCGTGTCGCGGGAGGTTAAGGAGGGTGTTGGCGACGAAGGCGCTGGGTGATGTTATGACCTACAGAGATCACACGCGTCAGCAAGTAAGCGTGATTCATGAATACGAACGCACCCTTCGAAGCATCTGGTGCCATGTTCGTCTAGAAATATGAGATGAATACACGAAAAAAAAATGAGAAAAACGGGAAATGCACACCCCCAAAACTTGCGCAAAGTAATCGCGTTTCCTGGGTTCGAGAACAGTGGTGGAAGGTCATTGGGCATCCACCTCCCAGTAGCCAGCACCAACATTATCCAGATATGATGCGAGAGCTTGATCCCCATCCACGTCAACAGACCTTGCTGAAGGGCATAGACAGACCGCAAAGCCCACGTGCCTGCTACCCCAAGTTCATGGGCGGATTGCCACTGAGAGCATAGAGTCACAGTAACGTCCACGATGTTGAGGACGAGGAGGTTGAGGCCAAGGTACGCAAGCTGTTTCAGGGCAAAACGCAGCCTCGACGTATCAGTGGGGCGTGGAGGAATGCCATTCTTCGGTTCATTCACCCAACCAACGAGGCGCGGGCTCGTCATCAGCCGCAGCACCCATTTGACGCGTTCGTAAAGGGGAAGTTGGTCTGTATCTGTAACTTGATCGGCCAAACGCAGCTCCGAATGTGAGTCAGTCAGGACGAGGAAATCGAGCATCTGTAAAGTTAGTTGTGTGAGCGCACACGCCATGGCGTGTTCGGAGGGCGCGGTCCTGAGGGTGGTGATGTGGAGGAGGATGCCGGCAATTGGGACGAACATCGCGGCGCGCAGAGGTTGGGAGGTCATGAGGAGCCCAGAGAAGGAAAGTATGTACGGAGCTACCCATAGATAAGAAGGGATCGGGGAACGCGCAGATTCCATGGTGGGGAATGAGCGACGGGGCAAGTAGGGATAGTGGGTGATTGGTGGTCAAAAAAGAAATGTACGAGACTATCGTTCGCGTCCATTTATATGTTAGCCGAGTAGACCCTGCAATGGTACCTTTTCGTCGAATTACTTCCGTTGGCGAAGAAACTTTCCTGCTTTGGGGCCAACGTTCAAAGAGATCTGAACGTTGAAGGTGAACTCAGCCCCGATTATGGATCCCACTTCTCTACCTCAGCCGCGCACAACTCCTCCCAGTTCGCGTCCCACCCAAACTCTTCTAGCCACGGCTGTTCAACCCATCTAGCGATAGCATCTCTCGATACCTCAAACGTCGCGGCGTGTGATTGAAGAGTATTGACGATGGTCTTGCATTCGTGAAGAGACCGATTGTACGCCGGGAGCACCGAAGGAATGGAGACCACTGCAGCAGCATGCATAAATAAATAAGCCGGGAGGGGTGAAGGAAGGAAGCTGTCGGTGTGCGTACCAAACTTCTCGAGCGACCATGTAGTCCAGAGTGGCTGCTTCGCGGCCCATTGAAATCCCTTTGCCTTCGTCGCCTCGAAATAGAGTGCCTCCAAGCCGTCGATGATATTGTTCATCCTCCGAAAGTGCTTTTCCTATGCTATAGTGTTAGACGGGTAGATCACAAGCACTGCGTGTGTACACGGCGAGTGCATACCAAAGTAGCGATGATACTCTCGAGCTCTGTGATCTTGTTCTCCGCAAGCGCAAGTTTCTCGCCGACCAAATGATAGCGGGGCCGCCGATCTGGAGCGAGCGCGATCGAATTTCTTCGTCGCTGGGGCTTGAGTGCCTTCGTGCACACAGAGACTGATCCATCAACTCACTCAAGTTCGGTCCTAGCATCAACCAAGTGCTTCGCCGCCCTTACACCGTCGATCAGCACCAAATCATCCCAACTGTTCACTATGGCTTTGAACTCTAACAGATAGGCACGAGTTTTGCGATGGAATGTGGATTCTGTTGCTGATCGGGAGGGGGACGAGGGTGTTTGGAGATTAGACGAGTCTGTGAGGGCGTCGGAGCGTCGGGATTTTTTCTTGTTTGACGGCGATTGGGGGTTTGGCACTGGCGATGGTGATGGTGCAGACGGCCCACGAAAAGAGGCGAGTCGACTCATGATGCATTGATGAGTACCGACGGTAAGCTTTACAGATTACCAAGACACTGCGACACAGGGGTAGTGCCTTCATTGGGGAAACCTGTCTCTAGAATTCAAGAAACACTATATCGCAACCTTCTACAGTGGCAAGATTTACTGTTACGGACATTCTTCGCCTCCTAGTAAGTACTCATTCATCCCTAAGGAATGCTTGAATTGCATTCGTAATCTCCTAGGTCCAGGTCAAATCCAGCGTGTTGGCCAAACCTGAGGAGTACGCGGTCGCTGTTGTCTGATAATGTATCTACCAGCCATGTTTAGCGTTCAAACGTTCACAGATAGTAACATATGGTCTGCATCGCTCACATGGTTATCGTCACTGGTAGTGCGCCAGTAGTTAGACTTGAATGCCCTGCAGCCTATATAATACCTGGAGACTATGCATGCGTTCATGATCAGCCCACGGTATTGCAAGCAATAGGTCCACGCAGTGGCACGCACCAAGAGGATATTTACCGACGCTTGACGAAAGGACGGTCAAGCCATTGATAGGTAAATTATCGGCCGGCAGGTTTTCCTTGAAGTCATGTCAGATAATTAAATAGGATGCTAAGAGATAAACCCACTCGAACAATCCAATAGCTCCGTCCTTGTCGCTTAACTTTCTGGTAGACACCAGGGTTCCACCATTTGTCAGTGACGAACGTTGGGTCAGCCCAACGGTCCTGGACACGCAACGGTAAATGAAAATGGCCTCATCCCCAGGAAAATTGATACGTACATAGTAGCCATTGTAATCAACCGAGAAATCGACCCCCGAGTCACCCGGGACTTCATGTAGCTGAAATTGATCTAAGGTGAAACTGTTTGTATATTGGGCCTTGAACGTATAGGCAGAGTTCCCGTTGTTATTGAACATCTGCATGTCCTGTTCGAAGCTGATATTGTCTAGAACACCATCAACAATAACGTCAGTGTATTATTTGCAACCAGACTCACACTGAACCTGACCGTCGATCTGCGACTCCGGGCCGCGTGGTTGGTAAGTAGTCATTTGAAGGGAAGAACCAGGATGGTGGCCTGTCTGGTTGCGATCGACGAAGTAATATGAACAATACCCACTAGTAGGTCGAAGATATCGCGGAGCACTGTCCGAGGCCCTTACCATGGCGCCCCGATCTACAGCAACGATACCCCCCGCTGAAGTAAACTGGCCCGAGGTTTTACCCCTGCAGTCGGCACCCGTCGCATACGAGTACACATCCGTGTACCAGTTCAGATTGTACTTCTGGATAAGGGATGAATCACTGGTGGTGGTGACGTTGTATTTGGCGTCTGGGCTCCAAGCGAGCCATGTGATAGTGAAGATCAAGCAAGGAAGCATAGACCTGCCTCTTGAAACCAATCACGCCAGCCGGCGGCTCTAGATTGGATACATAAGCTCTGGTACTCCGCGTCGCAGACACGGCGCTATCGATGGACATTGCGGCTTGTTCAACAAGATCGACCGGAGATACTTGTAGTTGGAAGCCTTGGTTTGCCATCTTGCTATCTTTTTTAAGAGCACTTTGCATTAGGGGAAGGACCTGAGCCTCGCTGGGAATACTGTTGGAAGCAACGTTGACCATGCCATCAACCCTGTATCGCCACGAAGCGGTCAGCGCATGGGTACAGCTTAGGGCAGTACTTACATGTACACGAGGAGCGGTAAACCGTCGACTAGCCCAAGACTCGGGATGTCGATGGGGGTGTTGGTCGCACTTTGAATGGTCTCCAAGAGCGTCGATGTAGGCCCAAAGAAAATAAGAACCGTCTTGTCGGGTAACATTAAGGTAATATCGCTTTCGGAGAGGGTATAATCGTCGTCCTTGAGAGCAAGCGCCGCGAGACTCGATGTCCTCGTCGCGGGCTGCCGTCGCGCTTAGCCTGAGGTGAACATCGCTCTGCCTGAAACTACTTACGTTGGGAACTGAGTCACATTGCTCGACTTCAAAGTCGTCCTGCAAGGCCGTCACGAAGGCGTCGGAATAGGAACCCACAAGTGCGATTTGGGGTTTGGTACTGTCCGTCATCGTTGATTACGCTGCAGTGGTCCAGGTTGCTGATGATACAATTCTTGGAGACACGAGTTCAAATAGTGTCCTCGCAGTCGGCAAATTTGCAACTTCCATACACGTTCGCTTGAGCTATGGTCTGACCTGCCGCGAAGCCCAGCCGAAGCTTGAGCATGGTCGCGGAGGAATCACTGCCATATCCACAGTGCTATTACTGGAAATTAAAGATTCAAACATTTAAGTTTCGCGCCCTGAAGAACCCTGTGGGTGGTGATCTGAAGCTCGGGGTCTGGGTCATCATGGGGTCGGTCGGTCGTAGCTAAAAATGGCATCCCAGCGTCATTGGCGAAGACTTGTTCTGAAGACTTGTTCGTATGTTCGCGGAGCGACTGGGAGTCGATCTTCCAGAGCGGTTCTAACTTCATGGAAGTTAGAGCAAAAGGAAATTCGATTCAACAAACGCAGCACATGTAAGCACATGTGGCATGGGACCATGGGTGCTACTGGTGATCAGAAAGTTTGCTTAGCTACATGGAGTTCTTGACGCCGTCGAGCCACAGTCGTGGCAGAGTCCAAACTTGGGTCGCTCGCTGGGTATAATTGAAGTTGTAAGTACATGTTTCTTCTGTTGGTGAGCTTCGGAGTTTAAACGTTCACCATTTGGACTCAGTTAGAACTCGGACTCGACGACTGGGGACTTAAGCGTTTTTGCCCAATGAATTAGTGACATCCCAAAGAGTCAATCACCAGTTGTACCCGTAGGGTACGGTGCTAATGGACCTTCTGCGAACCCAGCACCCATCAACACTCGGATTTCGGAAGAGTCATCTCAGCCCATTGACGACACTGTTGCACGGATTCTGGCATTTCCATGCGTTCCACCCCTCTCCTCGTGTTATGTAGGTTCGACGCGGGGACGAGAGTTAACTTGGCAAGCCCCAGAACTTATACACTTGGCTGCGGAGACTGACTATGTGTGCTTCGAAGAACAGAGCAATGATAATCATCTTCTGGAACCCAGGCATCCTCGATTCCACTCCTGACTACTCCCGACTTCTGTGCCAGGAGGTCATGCACAATCTCTTGACATCCCAAGGAGCGAACATTGGCGAAGGCCGCCCCTCATCGGCCGACGTCCTCAGATCTGAGGGAATTTGGCTCTTGGGCAGAGAGGCTTCCGGCAATGGAGTCTCGTGGCTTGGCACCGAATTAAGAATTCGAAGAACTCTGTGTTATGAAGAGACTTCATCGATAGCTGATATAATGGTGTTGGAGTTCGCAGAGTATTCAACGGTTTCCCAGAGATGGGTATCCACTCCACTATGAATCAAGGCTCTGACTTCTATGCCTTCGTCAACTCAAGCTTAATGACGATCTTTGATAGAGGACGCAGGGCCGTCTCAATATTTAAACCAGTTCTTTAAGTACAAATCTCCAGTCAACGCAACCAGCCATCAGACAACAATGGCTGATCCGACTACCAAACTACAAATCTCCCTCATTGGGGCCCACTCCGACGGCTTTGTGAAGGCCCTACAAGCAAACAATTTTGACATCGAGCAATGTGGCTCGGTTTCCGATGTAAGCTGCTTATCACTATGCAATAATCACCCAAACTGACTGTAGTGTCTCAATCGAAGCGCAAGAAAAGCGCGGTGAATCTCTCGGTGCTTGCTCTTACCGGTGAGGAGCATACGCTCTCCGAAAGCGATATCGACAAGACGCTACGCGCTGGGACCGTGCTTGCTCTATTCGGACCAAGTCGCGCCCTCTTGGAGACTGTTCACAAAGCTACGAACACCCCCATTGACATTCCAAGCCTGGAGCTGGCCGATGGATTACCGCTCCTGGTATACAAGTCGGTGCTGCAACAACTATGTCTTTATTTTGTACTCATTCGTAACAACAGCGTGAATGGCGTGGTGCACGTTACTCCGAACAACGTTCCCAGTGAAGCCAAGGTCCAGGAGCTCGTGCGAAGCACTCTTGAGAAAGATGGCAAGGCTCCCCCAGAAGAGTCCTTTTCGGTGTCTACAGTGTCAGTCGATCCCCATGAACAAGCCGTAATGTCCATCTCTCGTGCCGTTTCCATGACAAAGACCTCGCGATGCCCCGTTTCCAATCTCGAACCGCCCTCCGGTGTGATTGGTTTCAAGAAGCAAGTTCTTATCTTCACCTTTTTTTTATTCGCGCTAACTAAGGCATTACAGGGGCACCATCGACAACACGGCCCACATCGAAATCACTTGGCTGGCATGGAACGCGGACGGCATCTACGACTTCTACACTAAGGATCCGCAATATATCCAGAAGTTTGACCTGAACTGGTACACCGATTTCTACGTGTACGCAACAGGTGCCGATTGTAGGGGTAAGACTGGCGACGAGTTCACTAAAGCAGGCGGCCTTGTGTACACCCTTGTTATCGACCGTGGTAACGTGCGACGTTCGTCAGACGGCGCCCCGCGATTCCTGGGGCCTACGAGTGGCTATTGTGGTTATTACTTCATTGACTGGAACCGGACGGGGAACTTTTCCCCAGGCTTCACGATGGATCTGCTGTCATATCAGCCTCGCGACCCTGCTTCGCAGAACGGGACAAGATACAATTGTCAGTGCTGACTCTGGACATCCCTATGTAGCGCTGAACGTTCCCCAGACTCCATCGACTTCCAGCAAGACATGCAGATGCTCAATGACAATGGTGATTCAAAGTACACGTTCAAGGCCCAGTACTCCAATGATTTCACTTTGGAAAAATTCCAGCAACACGCCATAGAGCTTGACTCGGGGGTCGATTTTTCTGTTGACTACAAGGATGGCTATGTGAGCACCGAGTTTGAACATACGTTCGGGATATTTTTTACTTACAATCGATGGCAGGACCACTGGGTCGATCCGCAATTATCTACCGACACTTGGTATTACCCTGGTATTACCCAGTGGGTCAACAGAGAAGGATATGAGCATTTCATCATCCGGGTGCGTCTTATCACTTATGATGCCGCCGATGATCTGACCATTCAATTATATATGAAGGAAGACATGCCAGCAGATGATTTGCCCATCAACGGCTTGACAGTCCTCTCATCGAGTGTTGGCAAGCATTGGTTCTGTATGTAACCCCTCTCACATTCCGAAGTGGAGGGATTAGAGAAACATATACGTTTCACAGCATCTGCGTACTCCACAGCGTGCAGGGCCTTCAAGTCTAATTGCTGGCGCACCACCAGTGATGGTCACAATGTGAGTACCGCTCCACAGATTATTTCGGGTCTTCGCCGTCCTCATCTTAGGCAGGTTGAGTTCCAAACCATCCCAATCACGTACGGGAATGGAAATGGGTGGCTCCGTACCTTGGATTTGACTTGGTCGTAAAGATGCGACCTCCGCAATCGTGTATACTCCCATCGTTTGCACCAGGCACTGTACCATAGCCTCCCCGAATATAAACATGTTGGAGCTGAGTCGCGATGGGCTTGGAGTCCCGGCGATGGAGGAATTTCCGAAGATCGAAATCGTGCCGCCGGCCGTGAGCCTGGCAGCTACGGATACATCCCAACATGCATCGTCGAACTGTGCCAAAATATATGTACGTGCATTCCACGCGGCCTATAAGTTAAGAGATTTAGGATTCTTCAATCAGGATTCAGTCCACATTCGGCGACTGATCATGGCGAGGAATTATATCAAGCATTAATGGGGTAGTGGTAACCTGGGTCGTTGCCAGTCGAATAATTCGACCCGCCGCGAGTTCGATTCTCGCTTAATGCAATAAGATGGGAGCCACATTTCGTTCGAGTTCTTAGTTTTTCAATCAATGTAAGATTTCGAGGCATATTTCATGGGTGCTTGCTTAACGTTTAACCTCGGCCTCGGTCTGAGTATTTCTTTAGAACACTTACTATGACCGGCGCATTACTTGACGCTGTAAGTAATAATTATTTTCTAGATTTTGATGACAGTGGTTGTTCTAACGATCTACAGCTCAAGTACTCTACCAGTTCACGCAAACCTCGTCGCAGGTCTAGTCTGCTCAGGTGCCCTTGATACCTGATTCTAGATAACGGTTCGCCCATCGTCAGTAATTCTGGTCCATGTATTGTAATGCAATGATTTGCCTCTTACACTCCAGAGCGCCTCAGTTCATCTACATAGATCCACGAGTCCTTGCAAACTCGAAGGGTGTGATTCATTCCGTTTCCCGACAAGTCTTGTCACCTTGTCGACATCCTGCTCAACCTTGTGCATTTCGTGATTACTTCATAGCCTGTTGCCATATTTACCGATTTTCCACCATCCGAAACGATCTGTCGAAGTGGAGCTACTTGACATTTTTACACACATATTCAACAGTGCCCCTGTTATTGTTTTCAAGAATATCCCGTTGAAAGTAAGCTGGAATGTTGAGCGCTATTGAGCCCCCATATTCACTGACCATTCTTGGTATATAAGAGCTCGAACGGGCACAGAGACTTGTGTTTCCATTTTCCAGGAACAACACAGTTCTCTAGGCAAACAGGGTCGCTAGGAATGATCGTGTGCAGACTGATGGCGGTAATCAACCGAGCATGTGACGAGTTTTCTCCTCCCACACATATTTGGGGCGCTATCATTGTCAGGCCGATAGCAGGCTCCAGCTTGTTCTTTTCTTTCTCATCAACCACCACCTTCTCCCCGTGCTGGTGAGGATCGCATCTCCCGGTACATTCGGATGCTTGTATAGGCCCAGTACCACCCACCCTCGTTTATCTTCGTTCTCTAAACTCTCGCTCTTTTTCCGTTTGTAAAATATCCGAAAAACCGAACCGTAATGGCGAAATCAAGTCATATTGCCATTGCCAGACAGAAACGTTCGATGCGCGAGGCGCGTCAGTTGAAGGAGATAATGGCGAGGCAGAGGACTGGCCTGATCCCAGGCGATGGTATAGTTCCTGGCGACGAAGCACCTGTGCGACCAGTGACTACCACCACCACGCCTAGGCCAATCCCACCGACGACTACACCTGTCCGGGTGGTCACAACCGCGACTACCACTACTCCCGTCGTACGAGTCACAGTTCGCCCGACGACTTCGCCCGCTGTAGTTGTGCCGCCCGCCAGCACCAGCTCTCCAGTCCCAGTAAGATCAACGACTCCTACAAGGGGACTGCCGTCCTCTACCTCACTGGTATGTGCTAGCTTTCGAGTAAAATGCACATTTCTTATTTAACTGCCAACAGGTTCCTACTTCACAGGCTGCTACGTCTTCCAAGCCCAAAGCCCGCGCGACAAATACTGTCCCAAGCGCGAGCATCTCTGCTTCTGCATCAGCTTTACCTAGCGAGTCTGGATCCACCAGCACGGGAGCTCTTGCAGGTGGTGTAATCGGGGGTATCGCATTGCTAGCTCTCCTTTCGTTTGGTATCGTCTACTACATGGTGCAGTGTTCCGTGTCAGATTCCCGCTAAAAAGAATCACTGATGATATATCCACAGCGCCGATTCCAGAAAAGAAAGCAGACCATCGCCTTCGAAGCTTCTTCGTTTAGACGCTCTGCTATCCTTCTCGACGACTCGAAGTCGGAGACCAAGTCGAATGGCGGTGCCTCGTCTTCTCCAATGCAGGAGAAATATATCTCGCACACCGATCACGCTTTTGCGCCGCAATTCCAATTCCCCACGAATGCCACGAAAGCCAGCGTGTATGGTGACACTGGCTATGATCAACAAGGGTATCTGCGTGGTCAAGAGAACAATGTCAGGCTTGACACTGCGCTCCCACCACCACCTGTTGCGACATCGGCTTCGCCGTGGGGGACAGCTGCTCTTGTCTCGGCAGCAGCATACGGGAACTCAGCCTATGGAATGAACTCCGCTCCATCGCCATATTCGCCATACTCCCAGAAACATACTCAGCCGGATCAACAGCCTCCCCCCTCCCCTATGTCTGCAATTTCGTATCTCCCAAATCCATATGCAGACAACGACCGGGACAACATGCAGGCCACCCAGACATTGTCTCGCCAGCCTTCCCCGCCCTCCACCGTCATGGTACGTGAACGTGAACAGCCACCTCCTTCTCCTGTTTACGGAATGCACGGTCAATACGTCGACCTGACGCGCGGCCCCCCGATTCCTCCTCCCACCATGAGCAAACCCCCAACGATCCGTCGGAAATTCTTTGTCCAAAACCCCACTCCCGAACCCGAGGAAACCCCTTCCCCCTCTCAGCCATCATCACAGCCCCGGAATAACGCACAGCAGGCAGTCGCGACGGACAGGAAACGTCCCGACACTGTGTATTCCACGATCTACAACCCTGAAGATGCGTATGGCGGATTTTGACCCTGATCACGATTTTGGTTATCGTCAGTCCTAGGAATGTAGGAATGTGTAAATTTCACTCTTCGCCAACCTCGTCTTGGATGCGTAGGTGGCAAGCTGGCCAAGTTTATGTTGTACTTCTTACATGCCGCTTTCTATGCCCCCGCGCCTTTTGACGGATGTATACGAGGCTATCTTTATTGTTATTATTCCTTTTTCTTCTTCCCAATACTCAATCGCCCCTATCCCGCTTCAGTACATATCTTGTTTCGATGCGCGGCATATACCTTTTCATACACCGCGGCTAGTGGGTATGTCGATCATATAATACCCTAGTTTTTCAAAGGGTGTCTTTTGGCTTTTTGCTTATACGTAGAATCGGGTAGGTTAACGTTAACCCTTGTCAAGATTATACCAACTACACAATGAGAACCTGAATGAGCGTAAAGCTACAGTGGCCGAATTTCGTGCTAGTATCAACGCGATATTATACTATGACTAGACATACAGTGGGGGCTGGAGACTGAGTGGGTGAGGAGAGCCCACAAGGGGGCAGGTTTTTTTTTTTCTAAACTCAATGATGGTTTATTTGCGGACACTGCACCTTCGGTGCCGGATTTCCGAAGATACCATCCAACTGTGTTTGGATGGGATGGTCAAAACAACCCTAGTCCATGTTCAGCGTATGAAAAAAGACGGGAGAAAGAGATCAAACGTACTCTGAGGCTTGGCGAAGCTGCCGCCCACTGTCACCTTTTTGCCTTGAAGAGGTGGGGTTAAAATTAGTTTGTGAGAGCCAAGATCGATGATTCCGAAAAATACCTCATGCCGCACGCTGGCTTGCTTCTTTTCTGTTACGCGAGATTCAGCACACGGGCGGCACCGTGTTGTCTGGAAAACTCACCGACTGAACGATGTGGAACCTGCGCAGAAGCTTGAACTCCTGCCGCAACTCTGCGTCGTCCGATTCGACGTCGATCTGCTCGATATCTTCGGTGCCGCTCACAGCTTGTATCTGCTGGCTAGATACACGGATTATTGTACCGCAATTACAGCTATCAAGCCAAGGAGCAAGACATAAGCATGGTGGCATTGTGATCAATGAGATATACTATTTTGGTCATACTCACCGTGTTGGGGCACCAATATCATTTCCGGAGGAGTCGCAGGGTTGTTGACAGCTTGGGCAGACCCGTTCGGAACGTTTGGTGCACAGTATTATGTTTACGCAGATGGTAGCCTCCGGTTTGATGAGGTCGTGCCAAGTGGTTTCGCTGACGATGGCATGCGTTTCTTCATGTACCAGCTCGAACGCGCCGCGAGCGATAAGAGCACCCCCCGCCCCGTGCCTTAGATGAGTTTTCAAAGCGAAGCGGAACGACTGCGGGTGATCAAATTTAGCTAAATGAAAAGAACCACAGAACGAGGTTACTTACCTCCCAGGTGGAGAAAATCCCGAACGGGAAGCGCATGCGATGTAGAGAAGCGTCTACCAGCCATACGGTTGGCCCGCTGAGGAGCTTGTGGATATCCTCCAGCTGCGTAAATCTGCGGATCATGATGTCTTCAATGCGACCTGTTGATACCCTATAATGGGATAATGCGGTTATAAGTGGAGCACATATAGCTATGGCTAATTTCCGGGCGCTTACAGTAGAATCGACGAAAGCAACATGCCAAGAGACTGTCTCTGGTGAGACAGCTCGGCCTTCAGCTTCGCGACTTGCTTTCTTTTGAGAGCTGCCCAGCATAATCGCTTCCAGATAGAAACGAAACGATTCCCCGTGGAGGATTCAGAGAGATATTTGTTGTATTCCTCCGTTTTCTTGGTGAATGACGTTAGTAGGTCGAAGCATCGTTGTATGACCTCTTGGATATCCGAGGAAAATGGTGGAGCGAGTTGACAGACGCTATCGATAGAGGAAGAATCCAGTAGTCGTTGGGGGACTATGGGGAGATCGTTTTCAGCTTCACTGGCTAACGCAACGCGCTCGACGTTGGAGAAAAGTATGCGAAGCGAGGCGAGCTCTTTCTGTAGTTCTTGGTATTCCGCAGGTGCGTAACGGCTGTCGCGTATAACTCTCGTAGCTTTAGTGGCTAGTGAGATTATGGCGACAACATCGCCCATATTGATGAAAGAGGCCATACCGTCTGCGACTGGTGGAGAAAGCGAAGGTGATGGGGACAGTTTTGTAAGGGAGGTCCTTTTAGCCTGAGCCATGATACTGGTCCTAGCCGCCACTCCATGAATAGACGCAGACCGATCGAGGTAGCGGTGCAGCCACTTAATGGCAGAGCGCATCGATAAAGAGGATTAGACCGGATAGGTCGAATTTTGCTATGTTTTCCATGATAGAACCCGAGGAATCCGGACGAAATGGATGCGCAGCGTATCCTATCACCACATAAAATAACATATGCATCAGCCGCCATGGACCCGTCACGAAATGAATCGCAGACATTCATGCATATACAGCCAAGTAAACATTTAGTGCGCAGTCTCCAAGTCTCGCTACACTCAGATCAGTATACAGCATCCGGTCCATTCGAAGGACGCACCATAGAAGATAAACTACGCTCACTCTGAGTCGTGACTGTCGGGCAGCACTGACAGAAAAGGCGATTCTTGAAACAGTACGTTCTCCACTCTAGCCAGTCTTCAACGGCCATCAAATCCTCAGCCACACTATCCTCTATTTCCTCCGTATTTGCGTGCATAAACGCTGAAACAATACACCGCACCTTATAGGCAAATGTACAATGCCATACATAGAGATCACATCAAGAAAGGTCAGTAATGAAGTTACCCCTCGATGCAGTGGTTGGAGAAGGCGCATACCTGTTTACTAGACAAAACAGCTTCCCTAGCACAACAGCAGTTATTTGAAATAAAAGCAAGGATCGGTTGTGCTAAAGCGGTTGAAACGTTAGCTACTGTCATACTTAGCGGTAAATTGATCGATTCTCACGCGAGCACGTGAGGACCCAACGAACATTTTCTGACACTCTGACAATGACATTGACATGGCCAACTGGCTCACCCGCTCAAGCATATTGAGTGGCCTCTGGTTTTAAATAGTAGATAAATCATGAGAATAGTACTACTGTATCACTGAGTGTAAATAGGCACACATGACCCGTCTCGATTCCTGCGAGAAGGGAGTACGTACTAACCGTAAACAGCACAATACGCTCAAACAAGAGCGAACGTATATACGCATATGTACGAAGGATAATATGTACACTAAACGCAGTCGAGGCGAAGACAACAACACATCAAGTGACATGGTTTGGTATATAGAAATGTTGCCAGCGGAAATGGGGATAAGCGCGTACACAGGGTGATATGCCAGGGGGAAGGGGGGATAATTCAGATTGGAAGGTGCCGCTGTGTAAATTTGAGGTCGTCAAGCCATTTTCGGAGGGTTGGATCAAATGCCTCCGTATACATCTTCGTCGTCAACTCTGGATATCACCCTGGAATCTCGGGGAGCGCCAGTACGAGTGGTAGCGCGAGCTGCAGGAACAGCCAAGCCACCGTTGTAGGGGTTACTCGAGGGGACTGGATCTTGAGCATAGGGATGGGGAGGCGTATAACCGCTATGGCCATGATCAGACACATTATTGGCATAGTTCTGCGTGTAGCCGTTGTTGTAGCCGTTGTTATACCCGCCATTGTATCCTTGTCCCTGCTGAGCGTAATCTTGTGCGCCATACCCGTAATTGTCGTAGTTTGCGTAAGTGCCTTGAGGAACAGGGGATGGGGCAACGTTCTGATTGTCGAGTTTACGCTGGATCATGCTGGGCGGGCGAGGATTGAAGGTGTCGTAGTTGTCGCCCTTGGAAGCGCCGTCATCAAGAAGAACAGCAGAGCGGCGGAAAGTGACCGAATCGAATTGATCGTCGTCATAAGATCGCCTGCGTAAACGTCGCTGCACCGAGCGTCAGCACATCCTCATAACAAAGGCGAGAAGATTACTGACCATAAGGAACATGACCAAAACAACAAGCAGGCCTATACCAACGAGGCCTCCTGCAATGCCTCCGACAATCGCACCAGTATTGAGGGCACCCGAAGCTTCTGGGGTGACGGAAGAAGTCGCACTGGAAATACTAGCGGTGTTCACAAAGGTGGTTCGCGGAAGAGTACTGAAGCTGCTTGTCTGGCGGGTAGCTGGCGAAGCAAGAGGCAATGTCGTCTGTGAGGATTGATATTAGGAATATGTAGGATTGTATAAACAGACTACGCACAATGCCAGTGGTCGAAGAGCTGACCGTGGTAGAAGAAACGCTGCTGCTGCTGGATTCGGTGGTCTCGACGCTGCTGGAGGAAGTCGTCGTTGATGCGGACGTCGCAGTCGTTGAGGGTGTAGTCACATTTGGAGTGGTGGTAGAAGATGGTCTGGCTCTGGAAGATTCCTGGTTGTTGTTGTTATTGTTTGCTGGGGGTGTGGGGGTAGGGGTGACGCGAGAAGACGGGGGTATAGCTGTTAAGGGATGTGTAAGCCAGTCATACGAACATCAGATACAATTCGACGTTACTTACAGCTTGGTGGGGGAGGCGCAGGTGCCGGCGGCGTCGGGGTCGGAGAAGGTTCTTCAGGGGGATTAGTTGGCGGCGAGCTGCTCACTGGGAGAGCGGGGGTGCTAGATTCTTGTCGAGCTAGAAGGCGATTGTGCGAGGCACGCTTCTTGGTGAAATCTTGATGATACGCCATTGCACTAGGCTAGCATATGGTCCCGCTAAGGCGTAAATTTCAAAAAGAATGTGAGTCTAAACGAATGTAATGTCTCCTGGATGAGGAGGACGAGGAGGAGCAGATGAGGAGGGGAGGAAACGGAGCGTGGGAAATTGGACTGCAAGATCACAGTTCCTTTTTGCTGTCTGGTTGCCACATGGTGACCGTGTCCGAGTCCGTGCTTTCTTTCATCATGCGTATCGCGTACCTGGCCATCAGGTTTTTCCAAGCCCAAAAAATCACGAACAGACTCGAAGGGCAATACAACTTCCAATCCATTGTGGTTGAGCCAACACCGGCGATGAGTTGAACTCTTCATCAACTCTGGCTCTCCATCATCACAATCATTCAAGTGCGGTGATTCATCAAATTGTCGCCGCTGTCAGGAATTAACCTACCTTGACTGTTGAAATGGAGCCCAATCCCGCCTGCCACCATTGCACGTTCGAATTGGGTTGAAGCGGACTGAGCGCGTCAAGGCTGGGCGCTGCCCTCTCCTGACACGCCCGGTATACCAACCTGATCAAAGTGCGATCGTAATCGAGTGGTTTCAAACTTTGAAGCGTATCATCTCCACAAGGCAATGAGCTTCCTATAAACGGATGGGAACGATCAGGAGCGCAACTCGTGGTTGAGCTTATGCCATGTGCCTGGACGACGTAAAAGCCTGACCTTTTGATGAACCTTGTTGAACGTGAAGTCGATGGATAACAACGACACCACGTACCCTATCGAAGCCCGTCTTTAACTGATTCATAATGGCACTCATAAGCACTTAACGCCACTCGCTGCTCTTTGAGAGATGTGAAACAGGATGGAAGTAGATGGGACGGTGCCAGGCGTGGCACATTCAGTGAGTCAGTTACTCCCCGTACAAACGGTTCCAGCAGGGATTCACTGGGCTGGTAGATAGGCCGCCTACCCCGTCCTTTGCTCTGGGATGAGTTACTGTTCGGCGTTACTGTTTGTACGCTCTCTACTTCGATCACAGATGGGCGGTCTCCGCTTCCCCCACCGGCCGGAATGAATAAGGTCCCGCCGAACAAGACACCCGAGTTTCTACGTACTTTGAAGAAGGTTATTTGAAGGGGTTTCTTCGAGAAACAGGGTTGCCAAACTGTATTATCCGTTATCCGAAGTCGAGTAACTGAAACAAACCGTGTGAAATTTGAAACAAACTACACAACTGTTATTGGAGGGAGTACATGTCGTCGAAGCGGCATCTTCAGGGGTAACACTTAAATGTCCAAAAGTACTTGGTTCAACTTCTGAAACTCGGGATTCGTCCGTATGCTGCGGGCCGGAGGAGAAAGTCAATGCATGGTCCGCAGAGAGCAAGTTCTACGGAACGTACTATTCAATCAAACCCTAGGCAGACCTGAAAGACCTGAAGCACTGAAGCAAGCATGGAGCGCGCTAGGCTTAGCTACCAACCCAAAGACCATCAACGGAAGGAACATGAATACACAATCTATTACTCACCGCCACTACACTCGTATTTGCAGTCAACCTGACCAGTAGCGCATGCGGTCTGTTGGATGTTGACTATGCCGAGGGAAGGGAGGGCGGGGAGGGCGGTGGGGACGCAAGGCAAGGCCGCCAGTAAAACGGCCGTCGGAACGGGAACAGGGATATTTGGGGTCTCGGCCAGGCTGCATGCAACAGGCCCGGCATCTGCTTGTGCGTAAGACACACAGAGAGTAGCGAGTGTTACTAGAGATGCGAGAAACATTGGGGTAGTCGAGGGATACTTCGAAAGGACCAGGTCAGGCTGAAGAGAGACATCCAATCGTGCCCTACTTATACTTAACGATGCTGCCAATATCAGGGACGCCCGAAGCCCATATCGCCTGATAGTGATAATCGACTCGAAGCCCACCACTCGTCAGAAACGACGATAGATGATGGGTAGATGAGGCTTTGATCCATGAAACGGTCTCTTAAACTTCAACTAGAAGTCGAGGCTATTCAAGTCTCAACCCAAGTTAGGCGTATGTGTACCACCCTTTCGCGAACATGTATCTCTATTAGAGACAGTACCGGAGAGACAGTCCGGGTGACCCCTGGGGAACGCTCGAATGGTGTGATTCCCCCAGAGAAAGCGTCATGCTTGGAGCATCGAACCTCCTGGGTTCATTTGTGGGGGGAGTATGGAAGTCGTGCGCATTCTATGAAGAAGCTGGAGACGTCGGCGGCGTATACGACGAAGTCGCCAGCATCAGAAGGCCATAGCTTAGGGGTGGGCTACGGCCTGTACAATCATGTAAGCGCACGCGCCGCGTTAGCCTCGATCTTTTAACTAAGGTGAATGCCACGGCCCACAGAAACTTAACTCCAGTCGCCAGTACGTCCCAGCGCTAAGGATTGAAGGCAAAGGAGATCGGGTGACTGCAAGACTTTCGTTGACAGCGGCGGCTCCTCCACTGTTGAAGAGGGTGTATCGAGCTCCTCGCCTATCAGTATGCTAGTTAAGTGGGCAGTAGGAAAGTGGTCGAACCTCAAAGCTTCAGGACTCTGACCAGGCTCCTAGAACCAGCCACTCGTACGATTTTTTCAAGCACGTGACGCGCGCTAAGGCGCGATGTAAACAAGTACATCGTCAAGCGAGCTTGAAACTCTCGACAGAGCGGCTGGCAAAATATGTCGCCGAGACCTCCGAATCTCTTCCCATGCCTCTCGTCTGGAGTGACATCAGTTGATGCTTATTTGCTTATTTAATTAAACTTCCCACAATCAATAAAACCTGAAGTAGTAATTTTACTGAGACCGAAATTAATTAAATTATATGGTACATGTCCGACTCGCGACGCGTCTGGAGTATCGAAGCCGTACGCGAGCTCACGTCGAGGTACTTTAACAAGCGGGCATGCTTGTTTCAAATCCAAGTAGCAATGGCCATCTACTGTGACCGGAAAGACGTCGTTGCCTGCGCACCAACAGGGTCTGGAAAGACTCTGTCCTTCTGGATTCCTCTGATCATGGCGCAGGCGGATGGATTGAAGAAGATTATGATCGTCGTTACTCCGTTGAACTTGCTAGGCCAGCAGAATGTGAACGAGCTGGCATTAGCTCATATCCGAGCTGTGGCAGTCAATAGCGAGAACAATTCAGCTTCATTATGGAAGGTGAGGGATTTATTACTTACTATTTTCTTTACTAAGATGTGCCACGATGGACAGGACATCAAGACCCATCACTTCGACGTCGTCATCATCAACCCCGAGATCTTAATGGGCAGTGACGAGGCTACGGTGCTTCTTGAGGATCCGAAATTCGCGTCGTTGATACTACACATCGTCTTCGATGAGGGACATTGTATTAGTGAATGGGGGAGGTTCCGGAAAGATTATTCTCGCCTGGGTGCTCTCCGACACACGATTCGATCAGTCGAGAAGATTCCGTTCTATGTTGCGTCTGCTACGTTGCCAAAATCCATCCTTGCAGATATTGCGAGCATACTCCGGCTTCGAGACGACGAAACACGATACATATTGCAATCGAATGACCGGCCAGAAGTCGCTCTACTAGTGCGACCGTTAGTCTATGCTGCCAACAGCTACAGGGACCTTGAGTTCCTCTTGCCAGGCAAACCGTATTGCAATGACGCACCCGAGAAGTTCATTGTTTTCTTCGATAATATGAAAGAAGCAGAGGCGGCGCGGGATGCCCTGCGAAAGCGGCTCAGTACCATCAATAAGAGCCGAGTGAAACACTTCCACTCGACGATGACACAAGACTACCGTCGAGAAGAGTTGGAACGGTTTCGTCGGCTCGCCAGCAGAAGTACCCTAATAGAGCTAGGAGAGGCTAGGAGGCATATGCTAACAACGCGTGATTTATCCCAACAAGGACATAAACTGTCTGCCGTAGTCTGCCGAGGCATAGCTGTCACAAGTGACTCAGGTTCTCGGCAAAGGGCATGGGAAGAGATTCGGAGGTCTCGGCGACATATTTTGCCAGCCGCTCTGTCGAGAGTTTCAAGCTCGCTTGACGATGTACTTGTTTACATCGCGCCTTAGCGCGCGTCACGTGCTTGAAAAAATCGTACGAGTGGCTGGTTCTAGGAGCCTGGACTCTGACAGGAGTTTCCACCGGCTGATCCCAAGGCTTTCAATCTCAGCGAGTCCACGTGGTATCATATTTAGGCGTCTGTCCGGATCCAGTCGCGGTCTTCTATTCGGTTGAACATCAACTAGGTTGAACTCCTCCTTCCTTCAAGCACGAAGCCTTCGGTGCTGTTATTTCACTGCTGCCTGCCTCTCCGCGCAAGCTTCTCAAAGCTGTTGAGCTTGGACTTCCGGACGTGTACTCTTGGACAATACGTGGATGCTCTCCAACCGGAAGAAGTTTGGCCGCGCTTTGCCGTTGCGAGCCATCTGGACCAATGAGGTCCTTTCGACTCGCATTCACCCCGGAACGCTCGCGTAATTTACGGTGGGCTGTGCAATTATCTCTTCTACATGCCAAATTGGGACCAGAAAACACTCCGAAATTACCCTCCTGCACGCTGCATCGTCACGCATTTCCGACATGGATTTGATACCCTGGCAGGGCGTGAGTGCAACCTCGCGGTGGATACAAGAAGACAATCCCGTACTTTCTCAGCCATTTACCCATATACGATACGCGGTGCAAGCTGGCTGTGTGGGCTTACGTATGTTTTCTGTCTCCGCGGAGTCGCGACGCGCCCAGGTGCTCTAGACATGATTTTGAAAATATCATGTCAGCCACATTGCAGCTACAGAAATGAAATAGTTCACAAGCTTTGGTTCTTGTTCTCACTCGTCTCCAGCTGGTACCGGGCAGTGTGTCGGGCAACCTTGACGATTCACTTTCACCCCATGGCGTAGACTTAACCTCTGGGCTCTTCGATAACTGCACACTGTGCGGCTGGCGGCCTGCAAGCTTTACTCTGGCGACTACTCCTCTCGACGTGGCAAACGGCAGCTGTCTCCCTAGGAGGCATGTCACCCATGTGAACCCGAACGATTGATTAATTAGCGACGTCGGGAAACTCTCCTCAAAATCACTGGTAGAATAGCTCTCCCAGAGACTTCCACGGTTATGACATCGCCTGCCTCCAGCGATTGCCTTTCTTCCATGCTCCAACCGTGTTCCGAAACCTTGTGGGTGCTCTGCAACAAACAACATGACTTCACCCGTTTTGTTTTCCCTTAGATCGAAGCTCCCGTATCCGAAGGCGATCATGTAGAACTCATCAACCGGTCTACGTTCTTAATGAAGGCTTTCAGGAAGATTAGCGCTTCTCTATCAGTTACAGGACCCTACATTAAAATGTGTTGCTCGTCCCAGGGCGCGAGGTACAAGCTGGCCGCGGATGCCTCAAATGATACTCGGTGCGACTGTCTCCGCGAAGCGTTAGGTGGGTTAGTCACGCTCCGATCTTACGACATCCCCCTGTCATTGTACGATCAACGCTGCTCAAAATACAACGTTGACCACACTGCGGTATCGAATCAGGAACAAATTACTATCATCGGTTCTATAGTTCTCGCTTCTGATGACTGAACACTAAGAACACAGAGTTCTCCGCGATCACTGTGCCTTGACTAGCTAGCCGACTAAACACTGGCCTCCTCAATAAACCTCTACCTCTGGCGGGATGCGTGTACTAGTGCTTCATCATTCATGCTTTCAGCACGATGGACTGGTCCTAGTTCTCTTGATTTACGTGAAGCCGAAAGCCGCATCTTCGAAGAAACATCAAGAACTCGTTGTCCTCGTTGGCCGAATCACTTTGACTGAGAAACCTGCATTGAGGACGCATGGCATTGTCACGGCCATTGTCATCTCCTGTGATCCGATTTGAAGCCTCTGGAAATACCTGGTACGGACACTGCTGGTCTACTTGCTCCCATTGGTCCAACTCCCTATCTGTAACATCAGAAGCGTCGGTAGAACCAGAAACCTTCACGTCTACTCTCGACTTGTCGCCTTATGAGTGGGGTCAAGAATCATCCGGGAAAACCACGCTTGACAGCGAGTTGCGAAACTTACGCAAGTACCTCTTCTTCCTTTCCCATAACGCCGCGCCGGATACAAAGAATACTGTGGTCCTCTACGTATAAAAGCAAGGATAGCAGTCGAAGTATCCTCAGCAACTTACCAGTTGAAGCAAACCGAGCTCATATATCAGTCATACTCAGTAAACATGCGCTTCACCGCCCTCTTCGCTCCCATCGTCCTCGCTGCTGCCGTCTTCGCAGAAACGACTGTTTGCGGGTTTGACGCAACCGCTACGAACCCAGGCCTCGGCGGCATCCTCGACATTATCAGCCAGCTCACTGGTATCCTTGGCATTCTGAACGGCTTGCCCTTGATTGGCACGCTCCTCCCCGGCTTGAACCTTGGTGGCTTGTTGGGCACCCTCAACGCCATGAAGGTTCCCAACAACCTCTGCGAGTTGAGTGGAGGAATCGCAGTTAGTAAGTGGAAGCGTAACAAATTCATGTTCAACAACTGATTCACTTTGACAGATGGAGCCTGCTCTTGCTCTGCCTAAATGGACTTACTTGTAAATGAGATTTTCAGCTCCACCGCATCCGTTGGATAAACACTAACGATCTCTCTTAGAAGCAGCCATGGGCTTCCCGGTCCGGTTCCAATTCGTCGACAAGGTGATATACGAAAATCGAAATAAACCCATATATAAATTCTGTGATCTTGTCGAGTTTGTATGATTACTATGCAATGGGAGATGTTCTTGCGTGTCTGTTCATTCCTGTTCCTTCATGCCGGCGAGTGCCAAGACGGTGGAATTATTTGAATCTCCGCGAGCATCACCTTGACTTACTTCTCCGTTGAAACAGCAACTGACAGCGCGTTGGACGGAATACTCCCTGGATGCAGGGTTTTATCATTGCTGCGAAGATTAGTTTTGACCATATTTCAAAACTGTAGTGGCTACCTGTGCTCTCGCCGTGTACTCAGAGACCTATCTCATCGACAAATACATATCCAAGTCGACAATTTATATTCATACTCCAACTTTGAGCCACGAACCAACAAATGTACCATTTATTCTTGGAATCATATTGGGAAATCTCGGTCTGATGATGTAGACCAAGGGTCAGTTAGAATTATCTAGAAAGCAGTTGACAAGGCCTACACGTACTATATCTGGTTGGGTTGATTGCTGTTAGACATATTCACGCCTCGGGGCAAGCGCAGGCTCCATCTATAATATGAAGGAAGCGATTAGATCCTTTTTACTGCGGAAAATCAGGACTGACCAGTGCCAGTGCCACCCGTTAATTCGCAGACGCTGGTTGGCACAGCAGGCACTGTGATGCTACCGGCATCGCTGAGTCCGCTGACGGCAGGGAGGCCCTCAACGAAAGCTACGAAACCTGCAATACCTGCCAACGTGGAATCTGCCTGGCTGATGCCTGCAGCGCACACACTCGCTTGGGCATATGCAGAGGCAGCGAGGACGAGAGAGGCGAAGACGTATGAAAGTTGCATGTTGCTCTGAAGGTGGGCTTTGGTTGAAAGTGGGTGCTGACTCGCTGGAGATTGTTGTCCCTAGCCCACAGGCTTTATAGAGCCGGTATAGCACCAGTGCAGCCCAGTACTATGGCGGTACTACTGTAGAGCCGCCATGACATTGTAGATTGGTTAATCAGCACAACCGGGTAGTACATGGGTGGAGAGAAGGCGACGGACCGGAGAAAGAAACGGAAGAATTTCAGCCTTCCTCGCTGGAGCCCTGTGAAAGCACATATTTTTGCCATAGTCCGTTGACCTCCTGTGAACGTTGGAGTAGATGAGATTATCATTCGTGTCACCCTTCTTGTGTCCATGCGAAATCGGTGTGTCCAAACACGTGGGAGGATGCTCACCGAAGAATATTGCACTGTTGTCAGTATTGGAACGTCACAAGCTGAATGGACATCCAACTACATGACCAGTAGTTCGTGGGACGTTCGTGGGGGAGCCGACTGGCAACAACTGCGATAGGCGACTCGCTTTAGGTGGCCAACGTCCAGAAACAATGCGCCGAACTCCCGATATAATACTCAGCAGAGTATCAGATTGCTGTTCAACTCTATTCGGGAGTGGATGATGGATGAAAGCAAAGAGCTGGTCTAAACTGATTTCCCCCCTCGAATGACGTATTCCTAAGAAGAAATTGTGAGAAGAAGATGGAGCGGGAAATATATGAACGAGGGAATACTCGGAGAAGTCCCTTAGAAGCCACATAAACGAGGAAGATCGGCTGGAAAGATGCGGAAGGTGTCCGATCAAATGTAAAGTGCTGATACATAACCTATCGGTATACATATAAGTCAGGATATAGCGCAACGAGCACCCTTAACTTGGGTGTCGCTATGAATTCGCGTCGACGATGATCGTTTAGGTCACATAATTGGGGTTGTCGTGGCAAGGTCAAACGCAGGGCATGATTTGCAGGCAGAAGTATCAGTTTCCACGATGGGTCTGACGGGGGTTCGCGTTTGAACAAGGATGGCTGATCAGATGGGAGTCGGTGGGGAATGTAGTAGCATATATAGATGTGCTCACACCTACCCAAAATAAACGACGTTCTTGCTGGTCGAAGCCGACGCTCAGCGCTGATAGGGAACTTTGGGCCGAAAGGCCATGTACTCAGCTGCAATCGAGCCCGATGTACTGCTCCATTAGAACCCTTACTTATAGATACTGACCTATCATAGCATGCATCGACCAACAGCAAGTGAAAGCAAAAGCGGAGAAGACTGAAAATTGTTCATGTATTCCAAGAGCTTCTGTGTACCTAGTGGCGTGGGTTTCTAAGAACGATGGAGATCGTGAGTAGGATTCAAATCTTCACCAGCACGGGGAAGAGACTAACAGAACGACATGAGAGAGAACGTGTGCGGCGGGATCTCTCACACTAAATTGGTCCTGAGCAAGTACACTCAGACTGGGGAACCGTGGTGGAGGAGGGAGCTGTAAGTATTCGGGACAATCAGCAACGACGTTACAAGGCTAGTAGCCCAACGTACGAGTTATATCGACACAGCCAGTAGATTGCTGACCCGGACAGCCATGACTACACAGGTAGCTACATAGGGAAGTCCCCCCGACCGTAGAGCTACACGGCGCATTGAGAGTCCATGGTGCCCCGCTGCAATCTTGAGCCATTGTGAGGGTGGCGATGCTTACAAGTGCAAGCATCGAAGCGAGTTTAAATTGCATACTGAACACTGGGTAAGCAGGAAATCTAGTATGAGTAAGTTGGATTGCAGTACGCGCAGGTTTACTCGCCTTTTATACGCAAAAATCGGACTCTCTACGCCTATAACAAGGATGCCAGTGTACGTTAGGCATCCTTGTAATCACAGTAGTCTGGGGATGCTGACTCCCGGGCATAACTTAACGGGGACCTTGACCCAGGAACGACTCTATCCCTTGAACGACGGGCTCGGCTGTGCCCACATATGTCTTATTCATGATCGTCTTTCAAGCCTGGGGTGGATTTGGGGTGGGGAGCACTTCGCACTTGTTTCAGGTTGCCCTCCACTTTCCCATTTATCGAGCCGAGCCACGCTCGATACCCACAGTTCATTATTAAAATCCCTACAGATAATCGCCGCCCTAGTATAACATGCGATGTGAACAGGTTCGACTTTGGCCATGAATACCCCCGACGAGACCTAGCCGAATTTGCGGCACCGCAACGTATCTGAAGGTTCGGAGGTCTAGAGTTGCATCCCAGGGATAAGCTGTATCCCGGTTGAACGAACTAATCGACCTTGATATCAGCGCAAACATCTGTCGCGAGATGGTGATGGATATGTGGAATGTGTACTGCACTCCCAGTAGACGCGAAATTCCGACTATTCGGGGTCTGCTCTAGCCTGATGCGAGAAGATTATTCGATCCATAAAGCGGTCTTAAAAACACGCACGGCACGGTGCTTCTCCGTGGAAGTGGTCAAGTTTGCCTGCCGGTGACCAGTGAGGATATGACAAATGGCTGACGGAGGTTGATGTCCTTAGGCCTTGATGGGTAACCCCAACCATGATGCTAAGATGCATCATCGGACCATGTCGACGGCGCGCACAAAGCTGGAATGTTTCATCAACAAACTTGCTCCGACATTTGTCCGAACAACTCGATGGAAGGGCAAGAACGCCTACGGTGAGAATCATCGGCTTCGGTAACACACGGAGAAAGAAAAGACACCACAGCTCGTTGCCCAGATGGACTTGCTCAATTAGGCGTTTATCAAGATCGTTACTGAGGTTTGAAAGCCTGGGCTTAACATTGATCACTGACACCAATAAATAATCGCGTGCGTTGAAAGCATGACATCAACTGGTACTGGGAAAGGAAGGTAAGATAGCAATAATGATGACGACCACTCGCCTGTCGCTTGGCGTAAACCACGGTTTTAGAAAAAGTTAATGTACCTCTAGGAGTAAGTATATGTATCCACAAGAAGAGAAAGGGGTAACGGCCAGAACACATCATGAAGATTCGATTTCGAACTCGGTGTGCATGGGTATTGATGTAGCGGGTGGTGGTTGTGGCGACAGGGCCTCGGTAGTTTCGGGCGCCACCATTTTACGTCGTTTCTCGCCAACCTTCCAGATCACATCCTTGAGTTCCTGTACAACATCGCCGGTAGGACCCCATTTTTCCACGCCGCTTTCGTCACTATCGACGCTCATGGCTAGACCGACTCCAAGCTTCCCACCACTGCTTTCCCTCTTCTCTTTCATGAGTTTAATTCGTTCCTCGCGGGAGAGCTTGGGCCGATCTCGAGTAAACACGGGCATGCTGCCGCTGTCACTCTCGAATACCTCTTCGGCCCCAATCGGAGGGAGATGTTGCGCAGACGTCGACAACAGCAGATGAGCAGTTGCATCGTCCATACCTGTGGGTTCTGGCTCCCCATTGTCAGGGGACAGGATGGCCAGGTCAAGGGACATAACATGGGTTTCGTCATCGACCTGAAAAGAGGATTCAGCCTTATCAGAATCACTACCGTGATCTTGACCGAGGGCTGGAAGTTCTTCCTGATCCTCTGCGCGCTTGTGAGGGGAAACAATGTCAAGCAAACGCTCTCGACCTCTTTCGCATTCGCGAAGCGCTAGGCCGAGCTCCCTGCGAAGTCGTTCGTATGATTGAAGAGAAGCAAGGCCAGCAAGACCTTGTGGATCGTCAGGCGACGGATGGGGAACTTGGGTATTAGGAGGCGCTTCCCGAAGTGTAGTAACCGTTTGCAAAAGATATTCGCGAGCGTCAGTTAAAGCGGTGGAGATAGCTTCAACGTGAAGTGCAAATCTCGATAGCTGACTCGGCATAGGAGCGAACGTCGGGGTACTTGGACCAGTACTCGACGACACGGAAGATTTGTATAGACCTTCAGACAATATATCTTCAGGATTGTAACTAGTCCGTCGTGACTGGGTCTCAGGAGTTGGTGTCTGGTCTTTGACTCGGCGTGCCTCTGCTTCATCCAGGGACTCTGACAACCGGGCGGACGCATCGGCAAAGGTAGATGCCAGCAGACCCATCACAGAGCGTACATTCTCCCAATAGGCTTCGTCTTCTTCATCCAAGAAACGTAGAGCCAAGAGATAAGAACATGTATATCGCTTAGATGATAGTGCGGCTTGAAGGGCGAGATTGAGGGCGGAGATGGAAAGGGGGTGGCGGTTGGTGTGAGGGGAGGTGAAATGAGACCCTGATGCCATGATTGAGGGCGATGAGCGTTTAGACGACAAGCCCAGAGCTTCCATGCCAGCGGATTGTCGTTTCCGCCGCAGATCAAGAGCGGCAACACCGAATGGTATGTAACTACTCGAAGCCTCATTCTCAGCTTCAGCATCCGAGTCCTCCTCCTTAACACCTGCAAGAGTAGCACCAGAAGTTGAAGGTGTAGTAGGCGCACTGAAGCTCTTGGTTGAAGAGAGCGATGACTTGAGAAGGGTTGACAAATCAGATCTCCGTTTCTCTCGACGTCGTGAGGGCATAGGCGGGCTTCCAGCTACTGCCAAGGAAGCGTAAGAACCGTTCCACGTGGATCGCTTATTGTAACCGCCGGCTACTGTACGCTGCCTTGATGGTGACTGGGATGTTGAGAGGGAGAGGGGACGCGGGCTAGAAGGTTCGAGGTCGTATGAAGTCTTGGTCGGTGAGGGGGGAGCGTACATCTCGGAAAGTTGAGGTAACTCCGAGGGCGAGGTTAACGCGGATAAAAGTTGTCGTATATTGTCGCATTGGGATTGGGTAGTATGTAACGAGGAGTTGAGGGCAACGCGGAGGTGTGATAAAGGAGAGGACGGCGTAGTTGGGCCATAGAATACACTGGGCGTGATTTTCAGGACGCAAAAACCAAGAGAAGTTTCAAGGGTTCTTACCTTCGTTCTTCATTCTCGAGCTGGTGGATTGCATCATGGATAACGGAATCCCATACATCGCTGGCGCTAATGAGCTCTTCCAGACTTTGCATGGTCTTGGTTTGGCGACTTAGACCTGTCTGAGCTAGGACGGCAGACTGAATACTCACTGGTGCCATGTCGTGTCTCTGTGTCCCCTCCGAGGTTGCTTGTATGTAAGCAGCCCCAAACACCAACGCCGACAACAAGTAGAACCCCGCACCGAACGCCGCCACTGCCAACACTAAGAGTCCGTGGTTGTATCGGGTCGTTACATCCGAGTATTGGTTTGTCTTGATGTTAGCGTCCTGAGGCAGAGGAGGTTGATTGTAGTCCAAGCTACGCGACCGGCTCTTGCTTCTGAGCTGGCCTGGGATGCAAGGAGAAGAGGGTCGGCGAGAGGCAGATAGAGATGATGATAGAAGGGAAGAGGAGATCACATCGTACTTGAAACGCTCGATGAACGGACTGGGTTGCTGAGAAAAACGCGTCGTGAAGAGGTTGCTAAGGATCTGCAGTACATTTAGCTTTCCGCTCCAAATTGGGTCGACCATCACGAATAGAACTGTTGCTAATCTCCCTAGCCTATGTAATAGACCGCGAGTGCAGTTGAAACTCACTTCGAAGATGTCCAGTATCCATGATGGCTCCCGCGGTACTGCAGTATGCTCGTCACTGAGCGCGTCAAACTCGTCGTCTTGCGGGAGAAAGTCGGCAGATCCCCCAGGCATCAACTTGGAAGCTTCACCGAGTTCTACCGTGACCTTGAGCACCCGCCAAATACGCTGCAAGTGCAAGGCCGACTCACCGTTCAGGTACATCTGAAGAGGATGTTCGTCATATACGGCTTGGGCCATTGATGGCAAAGTAAAGGGCCGTCGGCGTCGTTAGATAGTAGACCGTTAAATACCAGAGAGAACGAGGAGGAGGAGGAGAGGAGGAGGAGGAGGAAAAGAGCGTGATGATAGTCAGGTTGAGGAGAACGACCTGGTGAATATCAACATCAAGTTCTGGGAAACTTCTCCGCAGGTTCGCTCTCGCTTGGAATGGCCCATTGTGCTTACGTAAGGACCATTGTCACTCGCTAAGAAGCTCAATAGGGGCGCTAGTAGCCACTATTTGCAAGCCAGTAGCTCTTCCAAATTCAAGACTAAGAGGCACTAGTAGGATATGGAGCAGAAGTTTTGATATTCATAGGCATGCATAATTTATATCAAACAAAGGAACTATGAACTACCACCCGTGATCCCAAATGAATGTGCTTGGCTCTACAACAAAATATTAGAATGATTGTTGGCAAGATAGCTGGATTCACGCTTACTGGCTTTTGGGGTAATCTGCATTTACTGGAGGATGTATCCAGCAACACCCTCGTCCGAGTAGCCGAGGTTCGTGATGGCGTTATTGCGTTCGTTCCAGTTGGTGGTGTAGAAGTGGTCGACGGAGCCACCGTGGTACAGACGATACAATGGGACGGCCCCGCAAGTTTGAGTGCTGAAGATGTAACCAGCAACGCCCTCGTGTGTGTAGCCGAGTGTGTTGGCGGCATTATTGGCTTCCAACTGGTTGGTGGTGTAAAAGTGGTTGGGGCGGGACGGGTTGTAGAGGCGGTAGAATGGAACAGTTGAATGGGCCGGGCTGGGGAAAACACGGCCAGCCTTGCCCTCGGTCTCGTAGCCGCCGGCGTTCTGAACCTCAACTGCGTTGGTTGTGTAGAAGTGGTCGGTGACCGAGCGGCTGAAGGCACGGTACAAAGGTACGGCGTTCCAGGAGTTGGGGCAACGAGGAGCGGCCTAAATAAATTGACTGTCAGTAAAGCGCAATGGATTTGCTGAGTGAGTATACATACATCAGCAGCCTCGACCTCCTTGACCTCGGCGGGGAGAGCAACAGCCTGAGCTGCGATGAAGAGGGAGGCAACGACGGCGAAGGAGAACTTCATTGTAAGGACTAGTGATGATGTTCGATGCTGATGCTAGAACTTCGAGTAGATGCGATTGCAACCTGAGGAAAGTAGGTGCGTATCCGTACCCTTATATACCTTCTGAGCGGGCGGGTACCCTACGCTTTCAGAACGTTCGAGCTTCCTATGTAGAACGGTGGAAGCCTGATAACTACACCACAGGCACGGTGGCAGCATGGACGACTCGTCCAGTCAGCGGGCAAATTCTTCTAAGAACGCAATACCACCGTTCTAGGGCATCGCCCCCCGCTGCGAGATATCAAGTGCACTAGCATGCAGCACTGGGCGCTCACCCCCAATCGACTGTGCTGGTGTCATTCATTGTGTTTACCGTGGGATTGGAATGGTAGACGGAGTAGACTCAGACACGGGGGTATCTACTCCATTGTCGTGATATTTCCTAGTCATTGACTTGATCGTCAGTTCCACTCAACGCAAAAGAGTCTATACCAGCTCACCAATCTATCTCGAGCCATGCGGAAAGGATCACAAGAGTCCGTAGCCAAGTCACGATGAGAGAGTCTGGAAAACAGACACGCCTGCATGCATTATTGTGCTACAAGTACCAATAGAACGAATACGACGCATGTCGAGTTTTTGTGAAGTGTGGAGGTATATCACAAGTCGTCCACAAAAATTCGGCAAGGCCCGAGACAACATGAAACCAGTTGAAACTTCCGCGTCGAGGCCGAGCTTTAGAATCGTGTGGGGTGCAGATTACCGGCGGATGGACCGCTGGGACTGCGGTAGAACGCCTGAGACTTGGTCACGGACTGGCATTGAACGCGATGAGTCAGGATTCGAGTATCAGCGTGCACATTTCAATAAGGAGAACTACGCGTTGCTGCTCACTGGCCAATATCAGCAAAGAACCCATCGGGGCATGTACTCCCTATCGTCTGGATTTGAAGGAGGGAACCGTAACTATGGATCTGAACATGACGGTGGAGCCATGTTCGTCTGACTGAGATGCAGAGTTTCCGAAAAGCAAAGAGGTTCTCCGTGAGCTTAAGACGGTCTTCAGACCACTGAGTGAGCATTATCGATTCATCTGGGAAAATTGTTAGCGCTATAAATCGTGAGGATGACAACTTTGGTTGAACGCCATTGGCGCTCGTCGCAAAACCTTGAGTTTCTTTCCAGCTTGCGACGAGTTCCTGTGCAGGTAAATGCTGATATTGATAAGTAGAATACATTAATAATAGAATTGGAATGTAGGTCATTAAAGTAGAAAAGAATCGATGTATGCTACAACTCGTAGTAATTCGATGAAATTCATGGTCAAGATGAGTCATGGGTCGTAACCCGGGAGGTGCAGAAACGGTTAGGCGATCAGCTTAACACTATTCAGTACATACGATAGAATCCTGGGCGCCCCTCGATTGGTGGAGCACGGCCTTCGCGGACAGCCTTGTTCTTGTAGTGGTAGAACACAGTGAGGGCACAAGTAGTGAGGATGATGACGAACTGTGCGCTGATAGCGACCCATACTAACGTCAGAGAACAATTTTCAGATGCTTGTTCAAGGGTACACACGTAGAAACTCACGTCCGGGCCTATAACCAGGGGCATCCTTGGAACGGAAAACCGTGGACGCTACAATTCCACCAACACCAGCCCCACCGATGGTAAGAGCTGACGCAAAGGAGCGCTTAGTGTATCCAGTGACATTCATTGTTTTGCATGTAGACACCTGCGAACGATGGACGCTCACCAAGGACAGCTGGGATGTTGCCGGCACTGCCGGCGACGCCTAAAAAGGAACCGAAGTACCGAACAGCATTGTGGGCGTGGAAGGCAGTCTTAGAGTTAGTCACAATCAACAGTTGCAGCTGTGAAAGAAGATAATCATACTGATTGTCGTCGATCATTCAGTAGATCATGGTAGAAAAGGTTCCGCTCCGTCAGGTTCGCGGCCTCTGCACGTCAACACTTACGGAAAGAGATGGAAAGCAGTGGCACTCGCAAATGCCTGTATCGGCCGCCTGTGCGATTGGGGATGGTTTACAGTGTTGTTCCGCCGATAGGATTCGCGGTCCTGCGACGCGACTAGTTTCCTAGTGTTAACGGCCACTATCAGACATAGCTGAGAGCAATACTTCCTGTTCCTGGAACACGCGTTGTGAGCTTCGCCTCCTAAGCACGGACTTACATTCACGACTCACTTGACAGCAAGGCACGTTGCAGACCGTCAGGTACTTAAATTATCAACCAATTATAGGGCAAGTCCACAATTGGGACTCGGTAACGACGTACCGCTGGATAGTCCTCCCCCTTCAGAAAACACTGGGACTGTTAGTTCGGCACCGACTGTCCGCGAGGCAAGTTGAAGGGTGCGTCAAAGCTCGTCAGCGTGTGTTTTCAGGGACACCAAATTCTGTATAAGGACACTCCTATCGTACATTTTCTGAGAAGGTCGGATTATAAGGACAAAAGTCAAATCTAGGGTGCGCGACCAACCACTTCCATTAGAGTACGAGTCCAACGCTACCTGGAAATGAGTCTGCCAGGCAGAATGAGGATTGATGAGGGATTGAATGAACTAAGGGGATGAACTCACAGTGCTGTCGTCGCTAGTGGTACGCCAGGCATTGGATTTGAACGCACTGAACGATGAACGATATTTGGATGCTATGAATGTGTTTTTGTAAGTCCCCGTCCACGAAGCGAAGGGGTCACAAACTGAGAGTATGTTTGCCAACACTCGACGAGAGAGAGTTAAGCCATTGATGGGTATGTTGTCGGCCGTAAGTATTCCTAGAAATCGATATCCAATGATGAGATCGATAATGATATCAATCATCAAAAAGACCCACTCGAACGATCCAATGCTCCCATCCTTCTCTGTTCAACCTTCTCATAGACGCCAGGGTTCCACCAGGTTTGGGTATATGCGAATTCTGGATCAACCCAGTGGTCCTACACCCAACGCAAGTGAGAATTGGCGTAAAGCATCCCGAACTCAGTATTCACGTAGTAATCTTTGTAATCAACAGACAAGTCAACTCCCGCGGAGTCTTGCAACTGGTGCTGTTGGAACCGATCCAAGCCGAAGCCATTCGAATATTGGGCCTTGAACGTATACGTGGAATTCCCGTTGTTATTGAACATCTGCATGTCTTGTTGGAAGTCGATGGAATCTGGAAGCATTTAGCAATGCAGCGGGGATGTGTTATATAGCAACACTGACAATTGTATGTTGTACCACTCTGCGAATCCAACCCACGAGTTTGGTAGGACAGCATCCGCATAGAGAGCCAGCATGGTTTCCCGTTCGGTGGCAGTCGACGAAGTAATATCCACAATATCCACTAGTAGGCCCCAAGAATCGTGGCGCGCCGTCTGACGAGCGCCGCAGACTACCGCGGTCGATGGCAACGGTATATACAACGCCGCCTGCATTAGTGAACTCTGCGGCAGTCTTACCCCTGCAATCGGTGCCAGTTGCGTACGAGTAGAAGTCGGTGTACCAGTTTAGGTCGTACTTCTGGATATACGCTGGATCTGTGTG